CCCCCACAATCATATTACACTCCCCCACAATCTGACAGGTATCCTGTTTTTCAAAACTGGAAACCTTATCCCTAAGAAGAGCTCCACTGAGCAGGGCCCTGGACAAGGTGACCTCCTAGTCTATGATTCTAACTTGGGGAAACTAGTCGCATACTTCAAACATTTCCAGGATCGTCACCAACCCTCCTCAGAGTGACAAAATCTTTGTCACTTCAAAAAGTACAACCGCCGTGGCATCAGCAGAGAGGAGGTCTTCACATCCTCAGTGCACGGGAAGGTCTTTATTCCTAGAGACCAACATTTTCAAGACTAGGAGCCCAGAGCTGTGTCACTTTGGGGCATGAGTCCCACTGACTTCAAGCTCTGATGGAGGACAAGAATCAGGTTGAAATCTTGCACCTATGTTGCCTTGCCTGGTTCGATGCACTGGAAAACCCTATTGGTTATAAATACAGCGCGGCCCGTTTGCTTCTCAAGTTCGTGTTGTTCTCACAGTGCGGATGTTCGTGATGCTCGGGGCTGGTCTTTTTCGGCACAAATGAGCATTTTAAGTGTCAAGCATCATAGCAGAAAAAATCTCTGTCAAATCCAAAACTCTTCCTAGGTGAACAGGAACAAACAACCCGTGTTGCCAGTTTAACAGCCTTAACTGTGAAGAATGTTAAGAACTAGCAACATGCCAATAAAAATCATGACCTAAGTGATTTTTTTTGAACCAGTAATTGGGTTTATTATTTTTACCCCTCCCTGATTTATACGTTAGCTTTGAAGCATCCAAACCTGGCTGAAATCAAGCCCAGGAACTGAGAGCAGGCTGACTATCAGCCTGTTTCTGAGGCTACCTGTATGGTCACATATATGACACCTGGCATGGGATTTCTCTACTGAATGTACTGCAAACTTCAAACATTTTCTGTGTCTGTCTCTGAGCTACCCTGACCTTTCTCAGCAGCAGCTTCACACTAAGTAAGTGGCCAAACACTGCTCTCACTACAAACACAGGCCATCGTGCCTACTTTCATCTGCCTGCTTGGGTGTCGGAGGAAGGCAGGTGCCTGGAGTATTTTCACATTTCAGTGTGTAATTATTTGACCAGAGTCTTGTTCTCTGCTGCTGGATTTGCTCTTCTGCTGCAGGGTCTGCTAATCCCCCTGCTAATCCCCCCACTCAGGAACAATGCTTTTTATCTAGAGAGACAGGAGCGAAAATAAACCATTTCCCCGGCAAAATGAGCTCCTCAGCCCAGAGCGCGGGGCCAGAGTGCGAGCTGCTGATGGAGCCCAGCAATAGTCGTGTTAACGAACCAGCAACTCAGCTCAGAGGTCTGTGCCCCAGGTGTCTCGTGGCAACTGAGCAGGAAAACTTCTGGCAGCAGAGCCCGGGTTTGTGAAGCAGCTTTCCTCGGGGCTTGACTCTGCCTCTGTCAGGACACGCTGTCACTGAGGTGTCTTCATTAGGGCAACGTCACATCTCCGTCCCACCGGCCTCTCCAGCAGTGGTTTGCTTTCCCCCACGAGTTGCCTCTTGTCCTCCTCATCTGTTTAAAGTATCAGCACTGCGGGGCCCCAACCCCTGACCAGTCTCCGAGCGCTATCAAAGAGTCAGTATTGCCTGAGAGGAGCACTCCTGATCCTGCTCGTGGCTTTAAGGAGGCATCTTTTTTTATTTTTTTTTTACTAAAGAACACATGGGAATTGACTGCAACACAGCAGCCCTCGCCAGCAGAAGCCCCGAGGCTTGGGACGTGGAGAGTCTTAGCTCCAATCTGCCACTGCTCACAGTTTAATAGAGCACCCAGGTGTCATGGGCTCCAATTCTACCTCCAGGGAAAAGGTCAATATTTGCCAAGACTAGATTTGCTGCCCAAGCTAACGGCCTTTTCATGTGTACACGTGGGCCATGTTTTCTCCACTCACTGCACTGGGGGGAGTTTCCACATTTCTCTCTCTCAAAAATGGCCCTGAGCCCCCAGATCCAGCCCCTGCACAGCTCTGTAAGGCAGTGCCACAGCTCAGGACACAACGAGGTAGACGCATGCAGAAAGAAAAGCTTGCCTCACCCCAGTTTCCATGAGACTCAAGTAACCAGGTGGGCGAGTTTGGGAAGGTGCCTGCTCTCAGCCCCTCTCCAACATTCAGGCACCTGGCTTCGTTTAACTTTTTAAGTCACTCTCCCACCCCCAGCCAGTACAGGGGCTCAGATGCCCCCTCACCATCCCAGTCTGCAAACTGGCTGCAGATTTGGGGAGGTGAGGAGAAGGCTCCAGCTTTTCATTTTGAAAGGAGTGGGGACATTTTGATTTGGGCCTCAGTGGGTGGCCTAGTGCGAAGAGCTTTGCAGGCACAGTTGGAGTCTCAGGAGGAGCACTGATTAAATGAGTTTGGTGCATCCCAGCTCAGGCTAAAGGACTGGAAGTCACAAGAGCTCACGAAGCAGTCAGCACCCCCTGCTAGCCATGGGAACGAGAGCGCACCAGGGCAGGGAGCTGTCAAAGCTTCTTCCCACTCAGCAGACCCTTCCTCACATCCAGGACCAAGCGCGTAGATATGAACAGTTCCTAGTATCATAGTTATACCTTTCAGACTAACTGCATCAGATATGCTGAGCTACAGCTCACTTCATTACACCTTCACTTCATCATGATATCTGCTGAAGTAAGCGGTTGCTCACAAAAGCCTATGCATCTCTGATTCAGTTTGTCTAGAAGGTGTAACTCTACCCTGCCTTCTGCCTGACTTCAGATGGACACGGCTAATTCCCTCGTAGTACTACTGAAAAACCCTCACACCCTTCAGGCACAGACCTCCTCCGAACTTGCAGACGAATTCCTTCATGCCCCCATCAGACCTACATGCTCTTGTGCCAGCTGGCCTGCTTGCTGACATGGCTCCTCTCCTTCCCTGACACTTACCTGGGCATAGTGGCAGAGAGCAGACCCCTTCCCTCTCAGCCTTTGTTTTGCCGAACTAAAAAAGCCCAGCTCTTTATCCTCTCTTCTCTAAGGTCAACTCTCTGTTTCCCTGATCATCTCTGAAATCACAGTCTCAGAGCCGCAGGGCTGGCAGGGAGCTGCGGAGGTCACATCCAGTCCAAGCCGACCCTTAGGCAGGATCAGCCCTGACCAAACAGCCCGGAAAAATCCACTGTCCAACCTCTCAGCAAAACCACACAGTCCCTCTCTGCCCTTGTGCCAGGCAGAATTTGTTGACGTGGAACAGGATGAGGAGAACTGCATGCAGCTCCCCAGGTGAGGTCCCACCTGGGCCTGGTATTACTGCTTCCACGTTGCTGCTGGAAATGGCTCACCCCATTTGCTACTGGAAATGGCTTGCACCTGCCTTTCTGTTGACTGCATCAGATTTGGCTTGTGGTCATCCCAAGATCAACTAATACACCCCAGCCTTCCTCCTCTTCTCTCATGTCCACTGATGAGCTCCCAGCTTACAAGAGAAATGTTCATTAATCTCTAATTAACCCCATTTCCTAGCTCGCCATTAACCTTATAGTTCTCATACTAATCCCCATCCTCTCCAGCCAGCTAATAAATTTCCATGTGGCTCTGTGTCAAGGGCTTTATTGAAGTCCAGCTAGACAAGATCTGCTGTGTTTCCCTTGTCTGGAAAATCAATCATGTTATCAAGAACAGATAGCAGTGTGGCCTGGTATGATCGGCCTTTGATAAACCCATGCTGCATTTTGGCTCATTTTTGTTCACTTCTCTGTCTTCAAGTACTCCTTCCTTCCAAACTTGCTCTGAAGCCTGGCATTCAGCTGAGGTCAGGTTAGCACCCTGTGGCTGCTCACATGGGTCCATTCCCCTGCTTTTCTCAACCCCTTTGTGAGTACAGGCACTCCCTCTGCTGCTCTCCAGTCACACTGTTCTCCCCAACCCAACCCAACCCAACCCAACCCAACCCAACCCAACCCAACCAGATTGATTAA